TCATTTACAACAGAGCACTTCAACTCCAGCTGACGCGACGTCTTTTACAAGGTAAAGTCGGGGACATCAGTGCGCTCATAAGCGGTCTGAGAGACCGCGGGTACGAGTCGATGGAGAGGGGAAGAAGGTCCGAAGAACCGCCGATATCCCTGGATCTCACCTTCCACCTACTCCGGGAGATGATGGAGATGTCCAGAGCGGAACAGATGGCTCAGCAAGCGCAAAATAACAGAAGAATGATGGAGCTCTTTGGGAAATGAAGACCTCCTTTCAGTCCTCTTTCCAAAGATCTCCTTTCCTTTCCTTTTATTTTTTTATTTGTTTGCATTTTTCCCATCAGCACAAAACATGCTATGTACAATATAGTGCTGCTTCATTTATTATTTATAGCTTTAACCTCAAACTACTGTATGGAGCATAAAGGGGCTTGACAAATAAAAATACATTTTGATGTTGGTGTAAAATGTGTAGAATTACACACTTCTTCACATCTGAGATAAAAATACTTTTAGGCCATAAAATACTGCATTGAAAAAAGGCATTTTATTTTAAATTATGGATCACTGTATTTATTAAATATATATTTGTTAATAAACTTATGTGCAACCAGTCATTTTCTGTTGTGTAAGAGAATGTCTTATATTTTTAAATAAATAAATTAAAGCAATGCTTAATTTTCTCTGTGGATATCCTTACGTAAGGGTTAATAAAAAGAATTATTCCCAGTTACCTTAATTACTAATTGACTAACATACAATTTCCTAAAGTTTCTTTACATATATATTTGTAATCAGACATTGAAGAAATTGAAGGTTTACTAGTTCAAGGTAAAAAAAAAAAAAATCCCACTTGCCTGGAGAAAGCACAAACGGCCACCGCATCTTGAATCTTGCCTACACAGAAGTCTCGCCTCTCAGCTCACAGATATTATTTGATAGAGAAAGGTGTTTCTAACTAAACACAAAAATCTGAAATTGTGTAACTATGGCATTCTCCAGCGCACACAAAAAAACTGTAACACAATTTTTACTGCAGTCATGCAGGGGAAGAACAGTCATCCTCTCCTAAACCTTCAATTCTCATTACAACACCAAGAGGCCCCCACAGACAGCTCAAAGATGCATCACTGATTGCTAATGAATCTGAAAGACACTATGTGTGTGTGTTATGTGCATGCTGGGCTGATCCTTGACCGGCAGTGTGAGGGTAAACTAAACAAGAGCTGTGGGTGTGAGTCATCCTATCCTGTTTGGCCCACTTAGCAACTTGGGGCTTAGTGCTGCACTGAGCCCTTTTGTAAAGGATCCAACTCTCTGAGAGATGGTGTACAATAATTAGATGGGACTCAGTGGTGGACTACCTCAGTAGTGGGGTCACAGCAAGGTGAGAACATCACTGGACACCCTGAGCCTCACTGCAGTCTGATATGTGCAGTACAGTAGGTTGTAGACAGGAATGGTACCGCCACCATACAGTAGAGTAGAGAGGGATCGTAATACAGGTAAAAATACTAAATAATAATATGGGTACTTTTGTCTTTTATAGCCATATTTCATTTGAAAGAAATAAATTAAAAAGAATGTAAAGAATAAATACCGGGAAGAAGAAAGAAAAATGCAATTTTACCTTTATACATGCACACACAGAGACACACAAAATCTATTTCATTGTTAATTAAGTCCACACACAAATCAGTACAAGTACAGTGACATGTGGTAATAGTACTAAATACTGTAATTGTGTATTAATCTAGTAACAATCAATACTTGAGAAATAAGTATAAATATTATATAATACACCATAACATTACAAAATATAATGTTCTATCCATAAAATATAAGTTACACAACAAAGAATACACCACATAATACAGGCGGAGTTGTATTAGTCCTAAAAAGTTTGCGGTAGTATTGTCATGCTCACTCATGATATGCAGGTTAAGCAGCAAGTTGGAAAAGGTCAGCTACTTAAAAAAACAGTGTCTGAATTGTGCAAATAACAAACAGACGGTTTGTCATTCAGACCAAAATGAAAAGTCAAAACCAAAATATACCATATTAATAGGGAAACAAGTCAGTATGCAATGATAGATGCTAACACAGTCAGTAAGACAGACGTCTCTACTCACTTCTGTCTCTTCCTTTAGATCTACCTCAGCAACTCAAGGTTTCCCTTCGGCACAGGTCTAAATCAGTCTGAGTATTCCCCAGTCTGGGAGAAAAAAGGATCAAAATGGCCTCATCTAGGTTGAACAGGTATCTTACTCCAGGTTGGAGGTTGACAGCTAGGTCGAGGCAACACTCTCGGCTACACCAGGGGGGGAGTTAACCTGCTGGGGGGGAGGGGGTTGGACGCAAATGGCTGTAACAGCACTGCTTCCAGAAACAGCAACGGCTGCTCAGTACCCGCTTCTCCATCCTCATCTTCATCATCCTCATCTTCCACATCTGTAGGAAAGAAAAAGAAAAGTCTGGCTGTGTCAAGTTTGAAATGTTAGCAGCAAAGTACTGCCATTACCACCTCTATCCCTTCACCTTGAATGAAGTCAATGCTGCGCAGGGCCTTGTTCTCTTTCATGAAGTCGACCTGGTAATGATCCATATTCATGTAGCCACGCTCCACTTTTTCCAAGTGTGCTGTACTAGATGCTTCTGAAATCCTAAGTGCATAAAGTGAGATTAGCGTATTTATAGGAAAAACCCATCTTAGGTAGTATTAGTAACACTTAGTAAAGATGGGTTTGGTTAGGATTTTGTTGATACCAGTGCCAGTGCTGCTTGTCAATACAGATCAATAATCTTATCAATACTACTCTCCACCTTCACCTCTACTGATACACATCTGGATTCTAATTGATAATTTTCCTTCATTTCATTGCAGGTGCACCACTGGTTAATGTTATAAAAACGTGACCATGGCTTCCTCATTCATGTTGTTCACTGGGAGGGAGGGAGAAAGTTGACTTACAGTTGTTGCTGATTTATTTAGTGTGTGTGTGTGTGTGTGTGGCTGCTTATTTTATATGCTGTTAGCACAGGAAAAACAACCTCCAGGCTGATTTTCATTTGCTAAGATGAGCGGTGAGTCAACATATGTGTGAGACATTGTCCCTTTAAATTTTCAGCTTTTCCACATTTGCATGCAACTGTTCCCATAACATTAACTAAAAAGGTTTCTTTTCACTGTGCTACATCGAGCCCATTTAGCATTTTCACCTATCCAGTGCAAATGTATGCAAATATGGCAATAACATGGTCTCATGACAATAATGAGCACATCATGATTAGTGGATGTTTAGACACAGGGACGAGTTAATTCAACAGTCATGCTGAATGTTAAAAAAACAACAACTAACAAACAAGTGTCTTACATTCGAATACTAAATATCAATACCACCAGATGCTCTACACAGTAGCTTATCAATACTTTTGTTCTGATTGACCAGGAATCAGTTTAAGACTAGGCAAACATTCCTGGGCGTTTTATATCATCAGTTTGTGATGTGATTTGTTTCATTTCAGAGAATATGGCAGAATGTTGCCCCTTTCCACTGAAAAGATATTTCCCATTGTCTGTTGTTAATGTACTATATGTGATGATTTGTTTGGAACAGGCACACACACTCACTTTTTGAGGAGATGCTTTGTGTTCTAAGAGAGACAGAGAAAGAAAGAAAATGTCAACCATTTAACATATTAACCATTTTTTTCTTGAATTTCATTTAGTATTAAGTCAGACCTGCAGGAACAGGGCCATCTCTGGCTCCTCCATGGTCTGGATCCCCATCTCCACAATCTTACAGCTCTCCTCCAGATGGTCTCCATATTTTCTGGTCAGGCCCCGGATATAGTTCACTTTCTCTTCCTGTTCAGCCGTCACCTTCTGACTCATCACCCTCTTCTTCTCCTCCAGAATAGAGTACAGCTGGTCGAGCTTCTCACACACCAGAGTCTTCTGCTTCCGACCATTCTCCTATACA